AACATGAGAGATGTGTGTCACTGTTTTATAAATGTACAAATGCTCCCTAATAAAAGAGGCACAAGTAGGTCTGGAGCCGCCTCTGTGGGGTTGGGGGCAGCAGGCAGGGCTGTAGGGTGCAGAGAGGTGGGGGAGCTGGGCCCACTCCAGGGGGTCTGGCAGTGGGACCTGGGGAACACTTGGTGGCCCTGCGCTCATCATGGGTACCACAAAAGCCAGCACACTGCATTGCCCGAAAGCCCAAAGGATCTCTGCATTGCTGCCTGCAGAAAGGAACGCAGGACCCGCTTGCCCATGGAGTGCCCCTCCGCTGTACCCATGGCCCCTATGGCTGTCAGCAGCGCCAGGCACAGCCCCTGTCAGTGAACCCAGATTTAGCACCCCAGCACCAGCCCCAAACCCCAGCGCTGTAGCCCCCAGGTGCCCCCTTCCACGCTATACCTGTCCAAGGGCCACCCAGGCTCCAGTCCTCCTCAGGGACGGGGCTGCTGCCATCCGGGGCTCACAGGGCTACAAAGCCACATTAGCCCAGCCCAGCGCTGCTTGAGTCACCTGTAATGAGCCACATGAAATAGCAGAGGCATAATTAGAAGGGGATCCGCTATAGTGAAACAGGCCCTTAATTTTAACAAGCACAGCCCTCTGGACGAATGCCAGGCACCCGATCGCAGCAGGACCGGCTGTGCTGGCGACGGCTCCTGTCACCGCGGAGGTGACAACCTCATCAGGTTCAGTTCCGGTGGGTTGTGGTGCTGGCCCCAGAGAGGAGGCACTGAGATGGAGCAGCCAGCGAGGATCCCTTCTGCCCATGGGATGGGCACCTCCTCTACCACTTCCTACCACCACACACTGCAATTATGGCTGTTCCCAGGGAAAAGTCATATTTCAAAGAAAACAAACCATCTGGCTTGGGAGCAGAGAGGCTGGAAGTGAGCCCTGGAGTGCAACAGGACATGTGGCCTTGCTGCTGTCACCTCCTCACCGTTGCCTCCTGCCTGAAAGTGCTGGTGGTGACAGGCAACACCTGGAGAAAGGGGTGACCCTCAGCATCTCCTGACGACCTGAGTGTGTCAAGCTCACTGCTTTGCTCCTGGCTGCTTCCCCATTGCTGGGAAAATGCACCAGCAGTGCCCATCGGCAGGGCCAGGCAAGGGACACACAGCCCTCACTTTTTGGTGCTTGGCCCCTGACAGTGGACGAGCAGGCTAGAAAAACCAAGGAGACAATTAAAATCAGAATCCAAGCGAGCTGCCTGCCTCTCCACCCATTCCTGGAGCTCCTGGCTCCTGCAGTCTGCCTGTGCTGGGGCTGTGTGTGCCCAAAGGGGACATTGCTGAGCATAGCTGGGTCCACTGACACCCCTGTGCTGGGAAATGACAGGCACACACTGGTGGCAGCCCTGCCTGCACTTACAGCTAACGGGTACTCCCCTCTGCAGTGAAAGGCTCTGTTTTCCCCAAGCTTGGCCAAAAAAAACCCTGGCCAAAGGCCCCCACGCCCTCTGGAGGGGCTCGGCAGCGCATTGGGCTGTGACCCGGGGCATTGGGAGCAGGCAAAGCTCGGCATCTCCCTGCCTGCTCCTCCTTAAACAGCTCAGCTTCTGCTGCCTTTGCCTGCGGCTGGGTGGAAATGTTTGCCGAGGCTGGGTCCCACTCTGCAGCCGGCAGAGCTGCTCCTGTGGGACAGGCAGCGAGGCACCACTGGCCCCTTCCCAAGGAAAGCACAGGAACGAAAAGGCACTGCACTTCTCCTTGCCCTCCAGCCCTCTCCTGGCACGGCCTGGCTTCCTCCATCCTCCCAAAGGTCAGCCATGGAGCTGATTAACACTGACAGGGCTGAGTTAACTCTGCAGTGGGGTTGAAGTGACCCGAGCAGGGCTGGAGACGCAGGTTTTGCCTTCCTCCCTTGCAAGCTCACTGCTGCATTTGCAGAGAGGGGCTTGCATGGCTGCACTGGGGCAACAAATCTGAGGGGGCAGAACAGCAGAGCAGAGCAGCAGCTTGAACTGGCTTGAACCTCTGAACTGGTCCTCCAGGCCCTCTTCCAAAAAACTCCCCAAGAGGAACTTGCGCTGCTCTTCTTGAAGGCCGTGACGAGCCAGTAAAGCTTTTAGAGGATTTTCCTGAGGGAAGCAAAGTCTAGGGCAGCAGGCGTGTTTTCTCCTGCCCCATTGGGAAAATTGCCCTTTCACTGCTCTGCGACTGTGTCTGTGCAGAGATGGGCACGTGGTGTGGAAGTACCGGTCAGACCCGAATGGGGATGGCAGAAAGGCCCCGTCTGTGCAGCTGCCCACAGCAGCACCTGGGGCTGCGCCTCCCTGCCTCTTTCAGGGGCGTCACAGGCCCTCTCCAGCGCCCTGCCCACACCTGTGAAGGCAAGAGGGGAGTTTCAGCGTGTCACAATGCTCCAAATAACTTGGCAATCACCAAAGTGGCTTCAAACTCTGCCAGCTTCCTTCTAAAGGGAGCAATAAGTGTGCTGGGAGTGCCCCGGGGACTGGCATTTGCTCGTAGGTACAGTGGTGCAAGGGAGGGCTTGGTTGGTGCTCATGGTGTGGAGCATTAGGTATGCAAATAGCTCTAACTCTGGGCAAACAGCAAAGAGATGAGAGAAGCTCTATCTAGGCCATCTCGCAACAATTAAATGACAATTCAGTATTTCCTTTTGCAGCCAACTTGATTTGAAGCCCGTTTGCTTTATTACTGTTTGGGTACTCTTCTAACACCTAATCACATCCGACTCCTAGGTCTGCTCTTCAGAGGAGGCACGAAACTGTAACGCACCTGCATCCGCCTCGCTTCCTCTGTCCCAGATTCACATTTAAAGGGAATTAAGGATGTGCTTGGGGAAGATCAAAAATAGAAATACTCAGAGCAAGCTAACAGTTATCGTCTCAACTATAATGAAATTATATTTAAGCATATACTCTCCTACATCGTGGATATGAAGGCTGGAGCAGAAATACATGAATGAGGTATTTTTGGGGAAGGTGTCCCACACAGCCCAGGGCTTTCCATGAGTTTTGCTGAGCACTAACAGCCTCGTTAACTACCTAAATTCAGTTAATTTTCTTGGGGATGTCTCTTTGATACGGGTGTTTCATGAACAACTAAAATGTGATGAGGAAAAGGCTGGTGGGAAGAGTATAGGGAGCCGTGAAAACCGTGCCTGGAGCAGGCAGCCAGGGCAGGGGGCACTGCGAGTCCCCGCTTCTCGTACTGCAGACAGGAGGTGCAGGTGATGGGACAGTCCAGGGCAGGACCATGGTGCTCTGCTCAACCCAGCACCGCAGCAGCGAGGAACTGAAAACCGCAAGAAGCCAAAAAAACCCTGTGATGCAAAACAGCCTGAAAAGAGTGAAAACGACCTGAAGAGCAATGATTCATAGGCAGTCCAGCAGTAATGATTCAACACAGCGCTCAGATGCTGTTTCTGGCCCGGCAGCTTCCTTTGGAGCTGATGTCAGATGCTGGAGGGCAAAGCTCAGCTCACTTGGGCACCCAGCCTCTGCTCCGACACAGGCAAGGGTCTGCCATTACTCACACACAGCCCACGACAGCACACATGGGAGGACACACAGCTGCAACCAGCCCTTCACCACGTCAGTGGGACCACAAATTTAAGGCACCAGGACAGACTCAGCACATGAGCACTAGGGCTTCCCACAGCAAGGGGCTCAGCATCCCATGGCACCACCAGCGACTGGGAGCAGCTGGTGACAGCAGGACAGTCCCAGAGGAGGAGGTGCAGAACTGCTGCAAGCCCCACGGGTTCAAGCCTGCAGTTCCAGGTGTCTACTTGGCCTGGTTGGTGTCTGCCAGGCTGTCCCCAAGCTGATGATCCCCCCAGCCTCACTAAAGAAAGGCTGTCATCTTTCAGCTCAGGTAGAGGATGCTGCGGGCAGCTTGGGGAAAGCAGCATCCCTGCAAGGAAGCCAGGGTCTGCACAAGCACCTACCACCACATAGACCCCCAGCGGGACATCCAGAGGTGCCCTGGGGAAGAATCAGCCAGACCCACTGGTCCATCTC